TTATTATTATTATTATTATTATTATTATTATTATTATTATTATTATTTTCATTATTATTATTGTTATTATTACAAATGTTTGGTTTGAATTATCTCAAGTGGGATGGATGATATTAAAGATCAGGCATGAAACTATTAATTAAAGAATAGTCAGTTTTCTTTGTTACTTTACCTAAAGATAACCTAATCTCAAAATCATTTTACGTGTAAAATGTAAAAGTTTCAGTTACTTTTAACAGAAACAACTTAAAACAAAAAATAAAACATGTTCGTCATTTTCTAACTGTAACTTTTCGAGGACCAAGCAGCAGAAGCTCAAAAGCTGTTGTAAAAGTTCATTCTAACCACGGAGTGACAGCGCCCTCTGCTGGTTGATTATTTTCTGAGAACTTCTAACTTCCCTTGCACGTATTTTGTCCATGTGCTGTTTCCGTAGAATATCCCTTCCTCTTGTCTCCCTCGCGAAGTGACAGCATGGATCTGTTCTCCAACTTTATTTCGTTGTTTCAGTGTTAGTTGACTTTGTTTTGGGTCCACGCCCTTCCTCTAGCACCTTGTTCGCTCGTGGACGCTATGTTTACCACCACCGGTTCTCGGGGCCTTTGTAAGTATCCCGGGTCAGCCGTTAAGCCACAGCGGGGCTGTCACGGTCCACTCAACGCCCCTTCTGTCAATTTCTACGCTAACTCCTAGCCTAGCTACCTGACATTAGCATGCTGCTGTCTCATTCAGTTACTGTAAGTTACAGTTGCAATTAATCAATTAAAAAACAATTTAACATACATTTAAATGGTCTGCTCACTCAATTAATCATTGCATTTTAAAACATTATGGCCAAACAGCCATATTCGTATGCGTCCATGTCACCTTTGCCAACAACCCCAGTGATTAACTGATGGTGGAGAAGCTCTGCATTCAGAATCAGCGTGAGACCGTTGTGTTATTGTTTTGTATAGTTTAAAAGTCTTTCATGTGTGTTTCACAGACAAGGCTCCTCTGTCAAAAGGCCTTCTATTGATTCTCAATGGGCTGACTGTGATGCTTACCCTGTTGCCTCAGTACCAAGAAATGTTCGTCTACAACCTGCAGGCGGTCACACATCAGCAGCAGGTGTGTCTTCAGGAAAGATCCGTCTCCCTGTCCCTCTGTCCCTCTGTCTGTCTGTCTGTCTGTCTGTCTGTCTGTCTGTCTGTCTGTCTGTCTGTCTGTCTGTCAGTTTGACCCATAGAGGAAGAGAACTGATTAACACGACCCCGACTAGTGTGCGACACAAAAGGACACATGGGTTTCTTTCTTTTAAGAGACCCATTTATTATTCATCACCAGGACAAAGTTAAGCGAACATACCACAAATAACACAGACTCCAAACTAGACAAATGTTCTGAGCTTTTAGGCTTTACCAGTGGCTAGTTAATTAAGTCATTCTGTGACCTTTGTAATCGATCACAAGATAAGAATGAGTATCCCGGAGAGGAGGCACGATTTACATTAACATTCACAGCAACTTTTGACAAATTACCCAGTTAAGGCCTCACTCTGAGCAACACACAACCATTTAAGCAGTCTTCAATGATCACCTTAACCAGAGTAAGATTTAAAAAACCCCAAATCAGTCTTTATTTCCCCTACAGACATCTGCATCTTCTCCTCTACAGTAGCACAGGTCCCAGTTTCTGAACCCCTTTTCTGACAACAGAGGGTTTTAAGTAACAGAATACATAATAATTGGTGTTTCTATATTAGTTTTTCTAATTTATGCAGAGGATTAAACATTATGCTGTAGCATGGTTTAATTTTTCCTCTGTGTGCTAGGAGTGTTTAAAATGCCCTTTCTTTGTGATATGCTGCAGCTATGGAGGTTGCTGTTCGGCAGGCTGGTCTGTCTAGACGTGAAGGACTCCTTCTGCAGCAGCCTGCTGATTTACAACTTTCGCATATTTGAGAGGAGGTTTGGCACCAGAAAGTTTGCTGTAAGTTTTAAAATTGAAGCTTCTTGTCGCTTCTGATTTTAGTAGTGTTGTATTCAGGGCCAAACGGGAGACTTTAACTGTTCTTTAAGTTTATTTTCATTTTTTGCCAAATACTAAAGCAGGATCAGGTATTAACATCCATCTCTTCCTCATGCTGCTGATTCTGTTTTTGTATTGAAGTATTTGAAGGTGGACTCGACCTTTGAGGTATTTCTTGTAATAACCATTGCACATGTTGCTCTTTTTACTGTTAGTCCTTCCTGCTGGGCACTTGGTGTCTGTCGGCACTGATGGACTTCTTGTTGTCCCAAACCTTTGAGTATTTATTTGACTATGAAGTGGAGGAACTGCCTGCAGGACTGTGAGTAGCATAGAATCACTCTTCACTAATGTAACACACTGAAAATCTGCAATTAGTGCTTATACAGCTTTATATATATGTGTGAAAGCAATGTTTTAAGTGTGGATCACTAAAGTGGAAATCCTCCTTTTTAAAAGCACATATAAACCCATGTAAGCCCTGGGCTGTGCTTAAGATTGGAGTGTACAGCATTTAGATGGTGGGGAAATGCGACAACAGTGTCCATCCACCTCCACTAAAAGAGGGGATTAAATACTGTGACAGACTTGCTGAGATGGCTGGTGTAAAGTCGTTTACAAAAGCCAACGCAGCTTTGTTGAAGTGTTCAATTTAACACCAGAACTGAAAAATGACTCTTTCAGAGTTAAGAAACTTGTTTGTTCCTTCTCAGCCCTCTTAACTGTTCCATCTCTCTTTTCTCAGGCTGGCGCCCGTCTTTTCTCTATTTGTGCCTTTCTACCTGTCCATCCCCAGAATGCCAGTCACCCAGGTTCTTGGGCACATTCACATCACCAACAAGTCTCTGGTTTACATAGTTGGCTTGCAGGTAGGCCAAGGTTTTTCTAGCTTTTGAACACATGGGCTTGTTTCCCCACTGCCCTTGAAGTGTTTTGAATAAAAATGCTCGTGTCATCTGGGCTCTTTGTTTTCCATCTCTCATCCTACAGCTGTTGACATCCAGTCCTTTCATGTGGCTCCTTGCACTCAGTGGGCTGGTGAGTAGCCAAAAGCTTTTTGAACTGTGTCTAGGATGTCTGCCAGTATTTAGAATATTGTGATGACACTGCGTTTGCACTTAAAAGATCTATATGGGAACAATAGTTTTGTGAAATTTCCTATTTTTTAATGTTATCAACTCAAATATGAGCTAGAACAAAATGAATGTATGCCTGTACTAATCTTCCTTCTTTATTTCAATATATGTGCATGTTGAAATACCAGATCCAGCACAGTTCCCCAATCTTGTAGCACCTGATTATTACACCCAATAAATCTGAAAGTCTGCTCCTAATAAACCAATTGCACTTCTTCTAAACGTGCCTTTCAGATCTCAGGCGGGCTTTACTACTCCAATGTTCTCTGGTTACAAAGGATCCTTTTCGTTCCTGCTTGGGTGTCTTGTATAGGACGGTATATTCTGGAGCCGCTCTTCTCAAGTGAGTCCTGGCAGTAATATTCGTGAACACAAATTCTGTGGAGATTCTTCATACAGTGACCAGTGCTTTGATACAGAGTGAATCAAATTCACCTTCACATATTGTAGCTGTTTTTCCTTTTAAGAAATTTACATAATCTGCTGTCTCTGATATCAACACACATAAAATAATAGCAAATTAACAAACAGGTTTAACACATTTTCTGGATTGAAAACAGCTGCAAAACTACATGATTTGAAAATATTAGTCTCCTATTAAACCCTTTATATTTACCAGTGCTCTTCTGAGGCCCCACTGATGTATTTCATGGTTATGAGAAAACATTGTGTTTAGCACATAAGCCCTGACCCATTTGTTAAACATGGTTTGGAAGATGCCACTAATGTTTATTATTTGATAATGAAGTTAAACGTTGTCGTGAACCCACCCAGAAAGCTGGAAACTGAAGACAATTTTCCCCAAAACATTTGATCCCCATCACCCTGTATTTGAAGCTGTTTCGTATCAATCAGTGGGATACAATTCCACCAAGAGGATGCTGCGAAGAACGGTAATGCTAATATATTGGCAAACATTAGTGATTCTTTTAGTACAAATGATTTCCGTACCTTTAAAATGTCCACATTTAATGTCCTGCCTAAAGTGGCTGCTCATCTCCATTCCCTCGCATCCTGTTCAAGCATTTTAAACCTCTCAGCTTTGAAAGTCTGTTTATATGCCTCGAAATAGCCAGCGCTTGATGATGTTACTCTCCCTTCTAAGCTCCAAAGGGGAATCAAAGAGTGCCCCCTATTTCTAGGGGTATCTTTTAACGAGTTTTTATTTATTTATCAATGTTAGAGTATATATACTAATGTGCACTACAGTTATTTAGTACTTGGAGTGCCTTTTTGTTTGATGATTAATGTATTAATTACTAACTAATTACTTATCAAGGCTCCCAGCCAAACCACGAGACACCTGTGGGGATGGGAGCCACTCTGGACATTCAGAGGCAGCAAAGAATGGATATGCTGGACCAGCAGCTGCTACTGGCCCAATACAACGAGGCCAGGAGGAATGCCAGGCCTCAGCCACAGGTAGAGAAGCAGGACGGCTTTTTACAGACTGAAAAACACGCAGTGTCAGAGCACGACTGTCCGTCTGATTAAAACTTGGTCTCTGATCAATTTGTAATTTTAAGTAAAAATTGACTAACCGTCTTGACAAACTGTAAGTTGAATTTGTGAGTTTCGAAATCATTAAAGCATGCTCATCCATAGGTCCTGTTTGTTTTAGATATGTGGCTATTTATCTTAAAAGTGGCTTATAAAGTTTGTTGCCTGTGTCAAAGTGGAAGATCCATCTGGAATGCCGACTTAATCTGACATGGCCTGTCTTCCTGTGGGCCTTCTTGCAGGCAGGGTTACTACAGTGGACGAGGTTGTTCCCCTCCCTGAGGCACAGGGGACAGAACCGGCCCCCGGTGCAGCCCCCCCCTCCAGCTCAGACACACCCATCCTCACAGCCACCATTACTGGACAACTCTCCTGTAGCAGAGGAGCAGGTTGGTCTTGTCTTGTGTGTTTGTACCTTTTGCTCCGTCTCTTTTTTATCTTTTCCTGTCTGGTTAGAAATGATATTCTACATTTTATTTGAGTCTTCATAGATATAGATAGATATCCAGCTCTGTCTGTGACGAACGCCACGCAGGCCCCAGCAGTGATTCGTGCTTGACAGCCAACTGATTGTGTTTCTGTCCCACAGGTTGCACGGTTAGTGGAAATGGGCTTCTCGAGGACGGACGCCCTTGAGGCCCTCCGAGCTTCAAACAACGACATCAATATGGCGACTAACTTCCTCCTGCAACACTGAGGGAAGTGATGAGGGGTAATAAGGTGGAATAAAAAGAGAAAAGGAAGCAGTAAAGAGAAAAAGCAGCCAAAGCAGAAGAGGAAAAATCAAAACGGAGGAACAATGTTGCACAGTGAGTGATGGAGAAGAGGGGAGAAGACTAATGACATTTGTACAGAAAATGATGGCCGTGCCACTGCTTTCTGAGGCAGAGTGAAGCTACCCCAACCTGGACTTAGGCAGAGAGCGGGCTGGTTAATGTGTGAAGCACAAAGTGAAAGTTGTTTGCGTCATGTCTGTGACGGCCGTCTTAGTGTGAAACGGCCGGCGTTGCTCAAGGCAGATGAGTCAGAGCTCTCACTCTGAAGGATGTCCTGTGAAATATAGACGATACAAATGACAGAGATCGAACATGTACAATTGAGTTATTTCTCTGAAAATAAACGGGGCGGGGGGCTAAATAACAGTTGAGTTCATGTCCTACACCGAGTCATATGAGTCACACTAACGTGTTGCCTTGTGAAATGCAGTTTGATGTATCCTGATGTCATGTCTGACACTTTCAAACGGCCACTTCCAAGACAAAACTTAAGATATGGACTACAAATCTAGAAATTCATGCTGTCCTGGAGATGCTCAAATCTTTTTCTTACAAACCTCTACTTGTGGGTGGGTTTTTACAGCACCATCTGAAACAGAAGGTATCTTTCTGCACATGGAGGTGTTTGAAAAATCAATGAGCATCATAATGGACTTCTTCGTTTGGCAGACTTTTGTGGAAGGAGCAGGGTTTAACCTTTTCATGCATTAGAAGTTGTAACGCAGCAGTTAGTCCAACAGACAGCCCTGTAATGAGCCAAACCTTTAACCCCGAAAGTACATTGTTCGACAAACTGGATAGTAGCTGTTTTTATGCGATCTCAGGGTTGGCAAGACAACTTCTTTAGTCAGTTACATCATATTTCTGCACACGAGAGCACCTGTACAGATGCAGAGTGTACGTGCTGGGATGCAGAGGAGCTCACAAGGATATCATGTTAAGTTTTATTTATTCTGTCTTAACAGAGTTTTTGGCTGCCAGCACACCTGTCTGAAATGTTCAAGTCTTAAAGGTCTGTTAATTTATTATGCAATGGCAGGACAGAAAATTCTAGTGAACTGTGCGATGCAAGGAACTACTTTGTGTATATAAACATACATGCAACAGAGGTAATATTACATCCACTGTGTACTGATGTCAAAGAGGGATGCAAGTTTTATATTTTGAGGATAATTGTTGATTGACTGTTGAAATATGGCATTGATATGTGTGTTTTTCTGAGAATGATACTGTAATATGTGGGTGTGTTGAGGGAGTTGTTGCATGAACAACTGTCTCATGAAATGTAGAGAAATGTATCCGATCTGTGGAATAAATCAACTTCATGACTGAAGCACTTTTGTTATGATGAGTGTTAACACACGGTGGCGCTCTTACGCCGAGCAGAAGCAAACCAAAATAGAACCCAAATGGAATATTGTGCACAATTAATGGCCACAGCTCTGACAATTGTTTTTTCCCATCTTAACTGACATGATGATGCAACGGTTGGTACTAATTGCCTGGTTCAAATCATAAAAATTAACATTGGGACATTTGCAATTAATCATTTTTTCTTCCCTGATTGTCTTTGTATATGTTGTTTTAATTGAATGAAAAGATAGTGTAATGTATTTGCAAACAAACACACATTTGAAACCAAAAGCCAGAACCAGAAAGGTATATACTGGACTGTGTAACTGTTAGGGAGGTAGTGAGGTCACACGTAAATCGAGGACCTGTCTACATTTGGAGCTGCTACATGTTGGGTTATGCTGTGTATACTTTAAGGGAAAGCAATAGATATTTAGGAAAATTGGTTTTCTGGGTGTTTGCCTGTAATAACTTTAATAATACTGTGCTTTTAAAGTAAGAGAGAAAAACGACTCGCTTATTTTAAGCTTTATGGGCCACTAGATGGAGACATTCAGTGGCTCTCTGTGATGGTGTTTTTCCAACATATTCCTCTGCCACACCCACTAGCTTCCATTATTCCACTAAGCAGCCAGTCTTACTCCAGGGTGGGTGAACATCACTGCAGACAATTCATGCACAAACCAAAGAGTTCTAAAATCACAAGCTATTTCCTGATAGCGCAAACTGTACTTTGAGCAGCCTGTGTGAGGACATCTGAACCCCTTTAGACACATTTTTTAAAAGGCCTTCTGAGGTCAGAGTGGCACATTTTCATCCAGCCGTAGCTGATGGTGAAACCGGTCATGCGCTGCAATTTTAAATGGCTGCCGAATTGAAAAGCAGCTTAAACCAAAATGATCAATGTTTCTTTGTGTCACTATGTTTAAAATTTTAATTAAAGACAGCGATTACAGGGGGAAAAAAGCACTGACAACCAACCCCATTAGGGAGATTCATCAGAGAAAAGCCCACTTAATGTGTGGCATTAATCATCTTTTGTTTGGTTGCTGTGATTCAGATTTTAGGAACTATCTGTGTTTCATGATGAGTGCTTTGTAGTTTGGCTTCTTTGTCAAAATTTGGTGTGTCCCTGAGTTTAACAGTGATCATCATCAATGAGGTAAGAATGTGTTGGTGTTCAGAGATGTCTCCTTGTCTGGAGGGAAAATCATTATCATTTAAAGTACGGCCAACTGAAGCCTTGAAGCATCAGCAGTTGTGTGGTGTTATTTGTCATTTCAGGTTTAGCCAGTGGTGACTCTATTAACCGAGGCCTAATGCACTATATCATGATATACTGCTGCTGTAAAGACACAGAGTAGTTTCTGTGTTGCCTCTCCAGCAGAAAGGCAGGGAGTGTTTCGCTTTAGATTTAAGGGTAGAAAGACTAATGCACTGAGAAACAAAATGTTACAACTGTGTCAGAATTGTATACAGACACACACATGCCTGTATGTACATCTGTATATAGATGTGACTTTGCATGTTTAGTTCAAATTGAAAAAAGTGAAGATGCAGGCTGGAAACACTTTTTGATATAATTTTCATAACATCACAACTTGAATATTTAATTTCCCTGAGATAACAGGACTTTTTTTGTAGTGATAAGGGGTTAATGGTGAAATCATATTACATATTAAAGGCTAGATGTTAGCACCATTGCCTCACAGCGAGAGGGTTTCCCGGTTCGGTTCCCCGGGGGGACAGGAACCTTTCTGAGTGGAGTTCCTATGTTCTCCCTTGTGTCTAAGTCACGGTGGGCAGCTTCAGGCTACCGTGGTGTTTAGTTGGCTGAACTCGTATCTATGGGAGACAACAGTGATAGGGGTAAACCTTTGTTATTAAAGGAACCTCACATTTTTTATGATTGTGATTTCCCCAGATTCTAACGTGATAATAGTGAGAAAATACTACATTGATAAACCTGTTATTAAACCAGGTAAATAAAAAGAACCTTGGATATCAGGTAAATGGTATCAATATAAGTAGTTTGCTTTGGTTCAAAATGGCTGGATCTATCAAGGTTTTTTTGGCCTTAAAAAGAGAATTAAATGCACAGTATCAGATGAATATTGTAACCTCTGGTTCAAAGCTTCCGCCGTGTTCATCCTTATGCTATGCCAGCTGAATAACTGTTATCCAAAATTAGAAACCCTGACTGTGACGCTCCGGTGCATATTCTCCGTCGAATGCAAAATGAAATGTAAATGTAAATTAGAGGTCTTCAAACTGTTTAAACAGCGCTAGAAAAGAAGAGCCAAAACTCTGTCTTAGCCGTCAGTTTGAGGGCCAAGGCAGAGTTATTCTGAGTAGAAAAGGAGAATTTATTCAGTGCATGTGAAAGTTTACCCCCACTGAATCCCATATGCAAATAGTCGTGATTGGCCCAGCTAGCACAAACAGGACACATGATTTTTGTAATCACATGAAATATTTATTTGCATCTCTGTCATTGTTAAAGTAATTGTGAGAATGCTAAAAGACATTCTGAACGCAATCTTTATCAACCTGGCTTATTCCCTTCCTGTATGAACTAAGATAATTAAGGCTATTGATACATTTAAATTTTGTTTAATTTGGTGGAATAAAAAATCACTATATACACAAAAATGACCTGATTAAAACCTGTGAAGATGGACTTTTTCCCCCTTACAAATATTAATTAATTAATTTATTCATTTATTCATTCATTTATTTTGTTTGTTTAAAAATTAACATAAAATGAAAAATGTCACGACCTAGATCTTCTGCCGTACACCTCTCTTTCAGTGTCATTTTAGTGATAACATATGACATATTGTGGGTGTATGGGCAAGGTTTAGACAGTCGTAGAGTCCTTTTTTGCTTGTTTGTATTCAATGTTTCCCTTAAGCCAGTGTAACCCAATTCTGGTCTTTAAGGCACATGGCTCTGCATATATATATATTTTTATCATGGAAGAAAACTGACACATATCAAACACAGGAGCTGTTACTGCTGACACACACACACAGACATATGAATGAATCAGCTTTCCTGCTTGAGAATTTTACAATTACTCATTTGTTCTTTTACCTTCTTCATACAATGACATAATCAGCCGTTTTCTTGAAATCTTTGTTCTGTCCGTGTCTCTATTTTACATTTAAGATCAATGTTCAAGTGATTCCTCTGAGCTCTGGTCTTTTTCACAATAACTCTTCATCTCTGTGTTGAAATGATCTTTACCTATCACGTTTGCTCATTTACACTTCAACTTCCCTTGAGACATTACATAACAGCCTTTTTGAATAACTCAGTAGAAATGCAATGCATTATCCTGTCTTTTCTTCTGCCTTTCAGATTTTTCATTGTCCTCTGGTCCAGTCATTCAGCAGACTGACGTTAATCACTGCTGTTTCACAGGAGCCGCTCTTCCTAGTTGCATCCTTTTAAACATGAAAATAGAAACTGAATTTATAACTGCCTCTAAAATGAATGAAATACAACATAAAAAGAAAAAATTAGAAAACATTTAAATAAAGTTCTGGGGCGCACAATTATGTCTAATATTGATGCAAAAAAAGCACGTTAACCTTATCAAGTTGCTTGTAAATTTTATGCAGGGTAAGATCCATTGTCATCAGACGTATTTGAATCTGTTTGTTTATCATTAAAAAGGACTGATATTTCTCACATCAAAAGTGATTTATGTTTATGCTATGGTCATTTATTTATTTGCAGACACAGTGCTGCTGGAATCCAAGTATCACAAACACCAAAGAGACATCACCAGCTCCGGAGCTATGTCCGCTATATTCCCTCACCAGCTCTGTTGCCATGGTGAGTGCATGCAGTTTTGTGTGGTTGCCATGGAGACTCTGTATTACAGCCCATCGCCTGGTTTCATCATGTTTCTGGATGATCATTTGTAAGCCTTCTGTATGCTAATGCCTGAAAAAACAAAAAAACAGTAGTGTTACAGAGAACTGCCCTCAGGGACTGGCTTTAAGTAGAAACACGACGTCGCTGTTCCAGAGCATGGCAAAAAATAAAAATACCCAAATAGCTGAATGTCTTCCCCCTGTGACTTTGCATGTTTTACACGTGGAAAAAAAACAAAACAAAGTAGGATATAGAACAATACTGTCTCCTTTCCATTCACACTGAGAGAGACACATGTATGGAAAGCAAGAATGGCAAATGCCTCCCACGGAATATTCAAAATTTTTGCTTTGAGATAACGAGATCATTTGTTTGCTGGACTTATTTTAACAACTGCATTCCATCCATTTTTTCACGCCGTGTATTGTGCCTAAGTATAGTGCATGTGCTCGTGCATGTACATGTCTGAGTGGGCTGTGCACAACACGTGGGAATGTTAGCATCGCTTTCTTAGGACACACAAAAAGCAGCAAAAGGCCACCGATGTTTTCCTCCTGTCATCTTTGCAGGAACGTTTTAGGTAATGGAGCACAACAGCGCACCCGCCTTCAGGCCGCTCAGAGGTTTGGTATGTTATTTGTAATGTGCGCTCACTCCAGAATACCCCTCGTGTTTTGTTTAGTCCCTGCTTGCTCCTGTTATGCAAAAGAGGTCAGTCGGGTTTTCTTGGTTCAAATTAGGACTTGTGGGTTTGATACCTGTCTTCCATTTTTTGATGGGTAAACATGTATTTTTTTTGTTTCCCCTTTACCCTCTTTTTTTTGTAAGCTCATATGTTTTAATCAGCCTGCAACAGGGCCTACTTCAGCCTAATAATAAGAAGTTCCTCAAGAATCCCAACTGGACAAAAGACATTTGCAGCTTTTTTTAACGTCAAAAGTTGATCTGTCTCTCTCATCTCTGTCCAATGTCTCAACCAAATGTCACTTATGTTGTCTATGCTTGTCTTTTTCAACAAATAATAAAAGCTTCTGAACTCATTCTTCTTCCACTTGATTCTTTAACAGAGATATGGTTTGCACCTCAGTTTATGTG